TCAAAGGTACACAAACATCCGAATAATAGACCTATGCGATACACTTAAATAACAAGACACAAATTTAATACGAAAACTAACTTATAAGTTAAACAAAGCACTATTCCAAGAATGCGGTCATCGGAGAAGATTAGCACAACAATGAAAAGTACTAAAACTATATGAGTTCTAAAATAAATCAAATGATAATAAGAGCAAATTACTAGTAGTGTATTACGATGACTTTACTACTAAAGGGGTGGCATCAGATGAAGCAACCGTCTCCAATGCAAGTGAAGTTGCGGGATTTGATGGATCAGCTATATTCTGTACCACAAATGCAACTAAATTAAATGTGATAAGTCTGAATGAGTAAAAATCCTACATCAACAATGACACAAGCTCTCTATAACAATTAAATATTCTTTCCCACCCTCCTAACACAAGTTAGTTAATAGAAGCCCTACATAGCACAATCAAATAACAATACACAGATTTGATGGGAAAAAATAACTCATTAATTGAACAAAGCAATAGCAAGAGCATGCTGTATTTAAGAAGTTTTGCACAATGTAGGAACGCAGAGTAAAACTATACGAACTCTAACACAAAAAAAAAAATAATAATAATATCAAGTTACAAAAACTTCATTACCGTAACTGTAGAACTTGACGACAGAGGGGTAGGGTGAGCAGATGAAGCAACAGTGTCCGATGCAAATGAAGTTCCAAGACTAAACCAATCAGTAATATTCTGTACCAAAAATATATCTAAAATCAGCTCAAGAAGTCAAAAAAATAGAACTCTTCAATCCAATCATGCAAGCACTCCACAATAAGAAACATTATTTCAGAAGTCTCTTAATACAAGCAATCCAATAAGAGCTCCGTGCAATACAATTAAATAACAAGAAAGAAACTTAATGGGAAAACCAAACTTATCACTTAAACAAAGCATCTGCGCTTGGAGATATTTTGTCAAACGTAACAACTAAGTAACTATGTGAATGTCAAAACAAACTATGTGAGCATCAAAACAAATCAAATACTAATAAGAACAAATTACGAGCATCTTATTACCGTAACTTTCATATTTGATGGCAGAGGTGTGACATCAGATGAACCAATAGTCTCTAATGCAAATAAAGCTACCGTATTCAATGGATCCATAGTATTCTGTACAAGAATTACATCTAAAATCAATTTAATAATTCTAAACAAGCAAACTCCTCAACAAGTATGCAAACTCTCTACAATAAATATTTTTTATAAGTATCGAAACACAAGTTAAATAAAAGTCCTATGCAGTACGATTATATAACAAGACAGAAAATTTGGATAAGTTTTGCATAATACAGCAGGAAAGAGTAACGGTCCAAAAACTTCAAAACAAATCAATGTTTATGAGACCAAATTACCAGTAATTTATTACCGCATCTTTGTTTTAAATTGTTCTGCATGGCCTAAAGTTTCACGTACAAAAGAGAATTAGGAGCTGCTACTGGAGTTGGGTACAATTTTGTTTCTTTCTCTTTCGTGTACTGATATATGGAAAGGTATGCTGATTAATATAAAGTTGAAATTTTGCTAAAAAAAACGAGAATGCTGTGCTAACTCTAATAGAAAGGGGATGAAGTAGGTGAATTATTATCATGTGTGGCTTTGTCCCATATCGTTTTTTGTACAAGGGAGTCTTTCTCTTAGTTTGTTATAAATACAGTGAGCATGTGATGGGATTAAATGCATCAAACCAAAAGATCTTTAGTAGACTATTTGGGTCTTTGGGTCATTAAAATTTTTGTTTAGTAAAATATTTTGATCTCTTTTGTATTTTAAGTATTAGGTGTTTTGAACCTAAAAACACTCTCCTAAGGCATTTTTGTACTCTCTTTTTCATAGTAGAATTTTGTTCCTCCTCTGTGGAGGTAGGTTAATTTTACTAAACCATGTAAATTCCTGTGTTTCTGTTTTATTTATTTTTGCTTTGTTATTTGTCTTTTGGGATTTTGGGATTGCCAAAATTATTTCGTCAATTTTCTAAGGTCAGACCTAATAAACTGGTATCAAAGTTTCTTCTAAGGATTTCGATTTTGTGACAACAATGACAATAACAAAGACCGTTGTCGAGAAATTCAATAGGAATGTTAACTTCAGGATGTGACAGCTCAAGATGGAAGCCATTTTGGTTCAAAATGGAGTTGATTTAGTGATACAAGGAGTTGAGAAAAAGTTAGAGAGTGTAACAGATGCAAATTTTGCTAAGATGGATAAGAAATCTCGATCCAGTATTATCTTAAATCTCTCTAACAAGGTTTTGCGGGAGGTAGCCGCTGAGACTTCGACAATGGCCATGTGGGACAAATTTAAAGCTTTGTACATGAAAAAAACAATTAAGAATCGACTTTATTGAAAGTAAAGTCCGTATATGCTTCGCACGACTGAAGGTATATCTATATTCTCACATCTTGATAAATTTGATTCCATTATTATGGATTTGGAGAATATAGATTTAAAAATTGATGATGAGGATCAGACCCTATTATTTTTATGTTCTCTTCCCCAGTCGTTTAGATATTTTCATGATACTATAATTTATGGAAAAGAAACAATTTCGTATCAAAAAATTAAATCTACATTAAAATCTAAGAAGCAGATAAACAGGAATATTATCAAAAAATTAATGGAGGTTAGGCAGAAGGTCTAGTTGCTAAGGGCAGAACCAAAAGAAAAGAATTTGACAGTGATAGATCTAAATCTAAATCTAAATCCAAATAGAAATTTGGAGTGTAATTACTGTCACAAAATGGGGCACATTAAGGTAAATTGCTTTAAATTGAAAACTAGATTAAAGCAAAGGGAAAATATGGTGAGAAAAATACTAAAATTGTCGAATCTTGTGTTGCAGCTAATGAGAATGACAAAAATATTTTTGGTGACTGATGACAGGACAAGGTCTAAAAATAAATCAATTTTAAATTCGGGGTGTTCTTATCACATGTGTCCTAATAAGGATTTGTTTTCCACTTATAAACCTTGTAATGATGAATTGTTTGGATGGGCAATAATGCCATTTGTGTTGTTGGTAAGGGTACAATCTGAATTAAAATGTATGTTGATATTGTGAGAACACTCACTAATATTAGACATGTTCTTGATTGGAAAAAGAATCTCACTAATGTTAGACATGTTTTTGATTCGAAAAAGAATCTCATCTATTTGGGCATGCTGGAGACTCTTGGGTGCAAATGCACAACTGAAAATGGTATTATGAAAGTTTCAAAAGGTGCTCTTGTTATTATGAAAGCTTGTAGATCTGATAGTTTGTATATTTTGCAGCGATCTACTGTCACAGGTTCGGTTGTAGTTTCATCATCATCTTTATCTAATTCTGGTATCACCAAATTATGACATATGCGTTTGGGACATATGGGTGAGAATGGCTTGAACATGTTAAGTAAACAGGGACTTCTTTGTGGTCAAAGTACTGAATCATTGGAATTCTATGAATACTGTATTTTTGAAAAGTAAAAAAGAGTAAGTTTCAGGTCACGAGCAATTTATAAGACGAAAGGTACTCTTAATTATATTTATTCAGATTTATCGGGTCTATCTCGTGTTCCATCTAAGGATGGTACCAGGTATATGTTAACTTTCATTGATGATTATTCAAGAAAAGTTTAGGTTTATTTTCTTAAACATAAGAATGATGTCTACCTCACTCTCAAGTAATGAAAAGTTTGATTGAGAACAGATAGATAGATAGATAAAGCGGCTTAGAACAGATAATGGCATGAAATTTTGTAAAGGTGAATTTGATAAATTATGTAAGAATGAAGGAATTGTTTGGTATCACATTGTTAGGATGACGCCTCAACAAAATGGCCTGTCCGAATGTATAAACAGAACACTTTTAAAGAGAGCAAGGTATATGATCTCTAATGTTGGGTTGACAATGGAATTTTGGGCAGAGGCGATCTCTATGGCTTGTTATATTATCAACCGTACTTCTTGTGCAACTTTTGATTTCAAAACTAACAAGTTTGGTCAGATACTCTTGTTGATTATTTTAATTTAAAAGTTTTTGAGTGTTCAGTATACATGAATGTGAATGATGAAAAATTAGAGTTTTGAGCAAAAAAGTGTATTTTTTCCTTGGGTATGCTTCTGAGGTGAAAGGGTACAGATTGTGGTATCCTGATCTCAATTTTTCAAAATTTATAATCAGTAGAGATGTTACTTTTGATGAATTTTCTATGTTATCTTCAAGAAAAAATCTTCTAGTTCTTGTCATGCAGATGATAATATGTAGAAGCAAGTGGAGCTTGAGATTGATAGTTTTGGTCCTTCTATTCAACAAATATTAATAGACGTATTTGAATCTACTGATAAAAATAATTCAGAAGAGAAACAATCATAGACATGCAATAATCATAGGCATCACTTTGCAGGGCGTCGGGGTTTTGCTCGATGAACTTTTTAGGACAGGCACTAGTTCTATTGTGTCGTATAAAAAATGTATAGTATGTGCTAAGTGACTAATTTACGTAATAATTGAATGATATTTTATGCTATTTTTAGTCCCTTTGATTATATTATTGGAAGAAAATAAATCATTTTGGCTATAATTGGGAAAAAATGTCTTAAGTGATTAAATGAAGTTTTTATCACTTTTTACTTGCATTTTGTGAATTTTTGACAGCTTTGACACATTTTCGTATTTTGGCTATAACTTGAGCTACAGTGATCGGATTGAGACGATTCTTGAACCAATTTGAAGATAAGAAATAGATCTACACTTTGGTGAAACATCAAAATCCAGTTCTGAGATTTTCTAGGTCAAAAAATTGAATTATAGTAGCTAATTTCTATTGGTCGAAGCAGAAACAAAGCATTGAGCAGTCAAGGGTATTTCAATCATTTCTTAGACTACACAAATCTAAATGAGGCGATTCTTGATGCATTGGAAAGCTACTCAAAGGGCTACAAGTTTTATGTTTTGGTCAAGAGGACACCGACAAAATAATGTTCCTTTTACAGTCTGCAGGAGATTTGGAACCTTTCATTGATAGAATTAAAGAACCTACATTGAAAGAGACGCTTCGGTATGGTGTGGGTTATTTGCAGGAGGGCTTAACTGGTACTGATCAAGATATAGTGAAGACTCTGTTTGAAACTGGAGGGATTCAAGTGTGTGTTATGAGTAGTTCAATGTCTTGGGGAGTGGCCTTGTCTGCACATCTAGTGGTGATTATGGGCACTCGACATTATGATGGCAGAGAAAATGCTCATAGAGACTACCCTGTTACTGATTTGCTGCAGATGATGGGTCATGCCAATCGACCTCTTGTTGATAACTTGGGGAAATGTGTAATCTTCTGTCATGCGCCACGTAAGGAGTACTACAAGAAGTTCTTATATGAAGCATTCCCAGTTGAAAGCCATTTGCATCATTATCTGCATGACAATTTGAATGCTGAGGTGGTTGTCAAGGCCATACAAAACAAGCAGGATGCTGTGGATTATCTAACATGGACATTCATGTATAGGAGGCTCACCCAGAATCCAAACTACTATAATTTGCAGGGTGTTAATCACAGACATTTATCTGATCACCTGTCAGAGCTTGTTGAAAACACAATAAGTGATCTTGAAGCAAGTAAATGTGTTCTTGTTGAAGATGATTTCTTACTTTCACCTTTAAATCTTGGCAGGATAGCATCGTACTACTATGTGAGTTACAGCACAATTGAACGTTTTAGTTCTTCTTTGAACTCCAAAACCAAATTGAAGGGTTTACTGGATATCTTGGCTTCAGCTTCAGAGTATGAACAACTTCCAGTTAGACCAGGTGAAGAAGAGCTGATTAGGAGGTTGATTAATCACCAACGTTTCTCATTTGATAACTCAAATGTACTGATCCTCAGGTCAAAGCTGATGCTTTGCTGCAAGCTCACTTCTCTCGGCAACTTTTAGGTGGAAATTTGGCATCTGACCAGCAAGAGGTGCTTATTTTGCTCCAAGGTTGCTCCAAGCCATGGTTGATGTTATTTCCAGCAATGGTTGGCTTACTCTTGCCCTTCTCGCGATGGAAGTGAGTCAGATGGTAACTCAGGGCATGTGGGAGCGCGATTCCGTGCTCCTGCAACTCCCACATTTTACTAAGGAAATGGCACAAAAGTGCCAAGAGAACCCTGGAAAGAGTATAGAGACAGTTTTTGATTTGGTGGAGATGGAGGACGATGAAAGGCGCGAGCTTTTGCAAATGTCCGAGTCGCAGTTGTTGGATATTGCACGATTCTGTAACCGTTTCCCTAACATTGATTTAGCATATGATGTTCCTGACAGGGATAATGTGAGGGCTGGAGAAAACATTAAGGTGCATGTAACTCTGGAAAGAGATCTTGAGGGGAGAACAGAAATTGGACCTGTTGATGCTCCTAGATATCCCCAAGTTAAGGAAGAAGGATGGTGGCTTGTGGTTGGTGACCCTAAAACTGACCAATTGCTTGCCATTAAGACGGTTACCTTTCAGAGGAAGTCCACAGTCAGACTCGATTTTGATGCTCCTGCTGAAGCTGGAAGAAGGAATTACATGCTATATTTCATGAGTGACTCCTATTTGGGATGTGACCAGGAATATAGTTTTATCATTGATGTGAAAGAGGCAGCAACTCAAGAAGATAGCGGAAGAGAATGAATGACCATCTGATCTTGTATTGACATGTAGTATGATTTGCTAAATTGTAAGTCAGATCGTTTTTCTATTCATTTTGCTCAATCTTTACATTTTGTTGACTTTGAATTGCTTGGGAAATAAATGCTGATTTTGAACTACATTTTTTTTTTTTTAATTTCAAATTTGCCTTTAATCTTTTAACATTTTTTAGGGTAAATTTAATTTAGAGTTCATTATAAAAAGAAATCTAAGTACAACATTACCAAGTGATAGATACAAACTTGAAAATCTCTAAAATCAAGGAGATGGATTATCCGTTAGTTTAATTTGTGGCTTAAATTGTATGTTGCTTAATATAGGATTTGTTTTAATTATTAACTCAAGTACGGGCAGAAAAGGGAATTTGCATTAGCAATAATAACATTATGGAGGTACATTTTTTCCTTGGTTAAACAAAAAAGTGAACTTATATTTTGAGTCAACTCTTCCTCTAACTTGAAATGTCTAATTGCTATCATATAAGGGAAACTTGCTCAATCAATTTTTGTTTTCAAGCATAAATGGCCAAATTAGTCCATGGCCACACACTGTTTGTCCAAAACTGCCATTTTCCCTTCGAAAAAATAGGAATAATTTGCTCACGCAGTTGGCCACAGTGTAGGCTTCATTTATGATAGATGATGTTACATTCTTTTAAAAGTTCTATTTGCTTTTGACCATTGTTGCTTTTTACAGGTTGCAGAGTTCTGTTGTTTTCTAGCAAAAGTAACTATTCATTTCCCAATAAATACATTTAAAATCAAAAGTGATAAAGAGATATCTCCACATAATATTTGTTTCATCCAAAACCACTATGAGATCATTTATTTTCTCTTAATTGCTGAAATCATTGATTTTTCCAGCCTTATCAACCATTTCTCCAAAATCTTAAGTTCTGATATTTCAATTTTAACCACTAAACCAAGGCTTCATCAATAACTGAAAAATACCTTATTAACCTGTTTGTGTAATCATTGATATTCTCTTATTTCTGTCCAAAAAAAAAAAAAAACCCCTCAACTACAGCTGAGCATGAGATCCATTGTTGTGTAAAATGACACTTTCTTGCTCCATACAGGACTGAGGGATGTCTCACATCTTTCTATGGTAACCAAGGAATTGATTCACCTAATGTGGAAAAGATAGTGCAGAGATTATGCAATCATGCTTGCTTCATTAAGCTGTTTAAGTCACTGATTTGTACATAGTTAAGGCGATAATAAATACGGAAGTTACGGTCAATAAGGTAGTGATCATCAAAACACCAAACCATCCAATGTAAAGACGGTTTTCAGTGCCGGTTATCCAATTACAGAAGCGACCCCATAGGTTTTCGTTTTCGCGTCTCTCTAAAATTGCAGTCATGGTAAAATCTTGGTTTATTTAATTATTTAATCATCAGGGACTTCCAAGCACACAAATTCTCTATAAATAGAAAGTGAAAGGCTTGTTATTCAACAGTATAACACGCCTTATATACACGTATCAAACAATATCGATCTATTCTAATTTTTTGTAAAAAAAATGAAATAAATAAAAAATATTGGATTACAAAAATCAAATAAGGATTTCTATACATATAATTTTAATATAAAATAGGTTGCCGGGATTCGAACCCGGAACTAGTCGAATGGAGTATAAATTTTCTTTGTTAAATTAAAAAAGTAAACATACCCCCAAAGCCATGCTTCAACAAAAACACATTTTTCTTTTTTTTTTAAATTTTTTTAGGAGATCTATTTTGGAATTTCTCTTTTGCATCTTCTTTTGGTCAAGCTAGGCATTCGGCTTATTTCCTCTCAAACACACGAATTCACAGTTTAAACTAACAAGATAAGATCTACAGAATGAATCCTCCAACTACATTAAGAAGGAATTATCAATTATCCATCAAGGACGTATTAGATCAAATAATACAGTTTCAGTCTGGAAACATTGTAAGTCCTAGATATGACAAGAGACCTACAAGGAGTTTACATCAAATTAGACAGCAATAATTATACAATTTCTTGAAATGAACTCAAAGAATTCCTTCTTGAGTCTGGACAAGCAACCTTCAGCTTCCAGCTGCTCTTGTTCACCTGAAGAGTCATATGAAACAGTGTCAGCTTGAGCTCAACAATCTTTGTGTGTACACGGAATTTCAGGAAAGTAGTTTCTAGGAAAGCTAAAGTTTCAAAAAAACATTTTTCCAAAACATGAATTAGTCCAACAGTCGAGCTATACTGTCACAAATATCCCAAATTAATGTTACTTAACACCAGGCTATAATAGTATTAAAAAAATGTTCTTGTAATTACGGTAAACTGAGGGTAAAGAGACTGAAGCTATATGTTAGTATAAGGTCTCAGAAGAAATTAATAATCAATGAAAGCAATAGACTTGAATCACAAATCCAGAGTTCATGCCACCCCATGACTTAATTATTTGTGCATTTGACAATACACAACATATATGGAAAATCCAAGCTATGGAGAAAGCAACATCTCAAAATCAAGACTGGCAAAATAGTTAGTGATCGAAGTGCTCCCTGGAATAACAAACCAATTCTTGGGGTTGACTGTTGAAACCACTTCAAACTATTTAGACAGGCTCAATAATTCAAGAAGGAAACACACAATTTTTGGCTTTTGTGAATCACAAAGGTTATAATCAATGGAAAGATAATGGCTGGGATGCATCGAGTGGTGACAAATTCAACTTTCTCAAGGACTTCACTTACAACCTTTGTGACTTAACCTGACCATAGCATATACAAGATAAAAACCTAATCAAAAATTTCACTAGATTTGACAAACATTATTTGATAATGCACTTGAATCTCAGTTAGCACAAGGAAAGCTTTTCCGATATAATTGTGAACCAGTTGCTAAGCAACCAGTCAATAAGCTTCCCAATATAATTATGACCAAGTCAATAAGCAACCAAAACATTTCATCAACCAATAAAGAGATTTCAAGTTTTCTAATGGAAGCCAACGTCAGAGGGCAAGAATTAAGAACTCAAGGACCTCTGCCTATGAATAGGCTTAGTGACACTTTTTCCGGCTGCAGGTCAGTAAGTTGGATTGAATTAGAGACTAATATCTGGAAGGACAAGCAATCTCCACTCGGCAAATAGAACTGAGGCGGCTGCAGATTCTTTGGTTGGGAGAAACAATAAAAAGTGGCAGCTGAGAGGTTCTGGAAGGTACTGATCCCATGGATTATGTTGTCAATCACATTCAACTGAATCAGACCCAATAGAGTTCTAATTATTCTCTCAAAATAGAAAAGCCAGCTAAGGGATTATAGACTTCTTTCCTTACCTTATTTTAAATTTTTGATGGATAGCTTTCAGTCTTACTCCCTCCTTTTCCAATGCAGTAAATGGATGTCAGCTTTCCTTTTTTAGATTGCAGGGACTTTTTAGTATTAGATTGGTGACAACTTAATTTGAGGTCTGAACTTTAGAGCTTCAGATACAGAACTTAATGAACCCTTCAAGCTATTTACACCAATAATTCCTGGGGTTAACAGAACTCATTCATGAGGTTGACTTTTGAAACCAGTTCAAGCTAAATATTCAAATTTTCAGCTTAATCTGAAACACAGACCATGGCATGAATAAACAGAAATACAACAAATTTTAATAACCACTGGCATATATGTTTTATTGTATATGAAGAGATCTGTATACATGTAAATACTAAGAGGAACTCCATAAAACTTAGTTGCACACGAATGTTTCACACTTAATTTTTCCAAATTAGATATTGAAAAAAAAAAAAAAAGTGGAAGATCATAGTTTGGCAGTTTCTCATTTTCACTCTCCCTTGGTGGTTTCTCTACTCACCATGTTTCAAAGCCAGAGATTTTAGAAAAAAAAAAAAGGGTGGGGAAAGGTTTGACATGGAGATATTTAGTTTAGGAGGGGGGAGATTAGCATACAAGGGAAGTACCACTTAATTCTCTTTTAAGCACACTTCTCTAAGACATCTTGACACTTGGCTGAACCATGCAAGCAAACCAAGTTTCAGTTCAAGGAAGTCTTCTTCAATTCCTTTCAATGGCCTGATTTTGTGTATTTATTTGGCTACATTTCTTTTCCTAGAAACAAGAGTGTCTTATTCAGAGGCAAGGAATATGTACGTGCACTTTCATCATGTACTTTAAGTCATTGAACATGTATACATATTTCACATAATTAAATATAGCATAGCACAGATACACATTACAGTATAATATGTTTAACTGAAACATTTACTAAATGTGATTTAAACTCACAGCAAAAGAAATCCAAAGAAAGATATAAATGCAAAACAGCACTTAGAAAATAAATAAAATAACTTTATCTTAAGTCTAAACAGCTTTTTTCATATCATCATCATCATCATCACCACCACCATCATTATTTTCCTTCCAATCCTTTCTCTTTCAAGTATTATACTAAATTATCATCTGCAATTACGTCCATAACAGAGATCTTCCTTTAGCAGGCCTTTAGACATCTGTTATATAGGAAGAATGTGCTCCATATGAGCTGCTTAAGCACATAAAGGATTCGTTGCTTAATATTTCAATCATAATTAATAAAAGCAGCAATTTCATCTTGGATAGTAACAAAGAAAGAACGGAGACACGTGGAAAGGTCTCGAATAGGTGGACATCCTTATCTCTTCTAACCACTGACACGTTTTAGCCACCAACTAAAATCTCGCACCACTTACACACATTAATCAAAAAGTAGATTGCGTTGGTCCACTAACTTTCATGAAACAACGAAGAAAAGCTAGACTAAACTGAAACCTGGCACAATTAAAAACCTAATAAAAAACCAAATTCTGAATTAAAGCTGCCCAACCTGTCGCTTCTTCACAAGAAATATGAAACGACAACTTTAAGAAGATAATAGAGTAGGTATATGCTTTAACTCTAGGAGCTTCCTTCATCAAACCTTTACACATCATTAGATGAAAAGTACGTACAACATAGGAGTTGTTAGAGTTTTTTGGGTGATACAGCAAGTCAGGCAAAAAGAATTTTAGATAGTAAAAATGCAAGAATGGCAGAGAGAAGTTTGAAAGGTTTGAAGTAGATCCAACATTCTTAAATCACCAACAACTAACATGTATACCAATTTAGCTACTGACCACTATCATGCACCAATCAGCAGCACTCCAGACAGTATCGATCAGACACTATTGACACGTATCCCAATTTAGCTACTGACAACTGTCATGCACCAATCACCAGCATTATCTATCAGACACTGACTACCTGTAGGAATAGCCAAAAGTCAATTGCAACGATCGAGATAGTATCTATCCTTCATCAAAGAAAATCGAAACCAATACACCCTGACCTTTCATCTTAAGACACTTTTCATACCACCACACCCTGACCTTTCATCTTAAGACACTTTTCATGCCATCACTAACTAAGAATTGAAACCACCCAATCAATATTCAATCTTTGAGACATATAGCAAAAGGAAAAAGCATATAACATTCCAAATTACCTTCTCAAGCATTTCAGTCCACATTTACCATCATGTGAAATATCATCTGGCACTTAATGTTAGATTTCAATTTCTCATTTTTCCAGCTATTCTCCCAAAATCAGGGAGAAAGAATGCATTTTTCAAAGACAAACAGTTCCATATCATAGAGAAACAAAAAAGGCCCCAAATATAGGGTCCCAAATCACAAATTAAATTAGCATTCACAAGAACAGATCTGCAGCCAAAAAAAGAAAAAAAAAACCGAATTTTGCAGTCAACCATTTCTAAACAGACTAAGACAAACTCTTATCAACGCAAAAACAATCAAGATAATGAAAAATTAAGCAATTTCAAATGTCATTACCCTTGGCCGTCAAGATTGCCCTGGCTGCCACCATTGGCTCCACCTCCAGTAGCATAGGACCCATCATCCGCCGCACTCGTCTGCCAAACCGACTGCCAGGCCTGCGACGGCGGAGGCGGCTGCTGCACATAAACACTCGGATCAACAGCAGGCCTGCCGATCATCACTCCAGGAGGAGCAGGCTGGCCCAAGGGGGGATAATAGTAAGGCACCCCACTAGCAGCAGACCCCACAGGAATTCCTCCCGGTGCCATCCCAACTCCGACGCCGACTCCCAGTCCGGCGGCCTCATCCTTGATCTCATCCCTCGGCACAATGTCGACCAAAAAGTCGAAAATGTCGGTCCTAGTAATTGCCGCCGCAATATCGTTCTTCTGGAGGGTCCTCCTCTTGTTCTCCTCGGCGTGGAGCCAGGAGCGGATGGTCAGCTCCAAGATGAAGAGCTCGCAGGCTTTGGCGAAGAGAATGGGGGCCTCAGCGGAGATCATCCGGACGTCTTCGTCGGCCTTCATGATTTTCTTGATCCGGGCTAATGGCAGCTGGTGATTCTTAAAGTCGTTCACTTGCTCGATCTCTTGTCTCTGGTAGTTCCAGAACATTTGAAGCTGTTGCTGCTGTTGTTGGAGAAGGTGGTGGTACGGCGGCTGACCTGGGTATGCAGCAGCCGAGGTCTGCGCTGCCGCCGCGGCGCCGCAGCCGCTTGGGCTTGCTGGGAGTTGTTTTCCATGGTGAAGTTGGGGATGAGGCTCTGAGAGCTTAGTAAAGTAGTGTGTGATTTTGATGGTTGTCTTTCTCAGCTTTTTTTTTTCCTTATTATTTCCTTACAAGTACTTATTTAGGCTTAGTTTGGGAGTTTATGAAGGAAGAGAAAAGAAAAGAAAAGATAGCTTAGGAAAGAAAGGAAAAGAAGGGAAAATATGCATATTTTGTTTGGGAGTTTAATGAAAGAAGAGAAAAGAAATATCTTTCTCTTGGAAAGAAAGGATTTTATGAGATACAACTTTACATATTTGCCCTTTCAATTTGTAAATCAAAGTCCAAAAATTAGTTTTCTTGTTCCCATAAATAGAATATTTGGACAAGACAAATTTTTAAAATAATTGCATATGCATTCCCATAAGGTGAATAATAAAACAAATTTCTTGCCGGACTTTGATTCTCTTGCATGCATGTAATTGCCTCAAGTCCTTGTAGTATCTTTTAGGTATTCTTGACATATGATTTTGATATTGACCGAAAATGCCATTATGCATGTTTCAGCTAGTGTTTTTGCTAAGGTGAAACTCAGGTTTACCACTAATTATTAGATTATCTCAATCTTCACTTCTTCACCACTTTATCCATCCTAATGTTTATAAAATTTTATTTGTTGATGGTTAATGCACTGACAAGCATGGTGTTTGGCATTTAATATTGCAAGTTTTCATCATTTGATCTTGTTATACCATGTATCCTCCACTCTAATTCACGGTAATTACCTCTTTGAATTATTTCATTGGTCCAAGTTTCACCCAAATCTTGTACTCACATTGTTGTAAGAATGAATTGGAAGCTGAAATGCGGCTATTTTTACATAAACCTACTCACACAATTCTTAAAACTTTAATTTCTTTGGGAAATATCCTTGAACCCAAAGAGTAATAATTCTTAACAAGAAAAGACTGCAGGCTGAAGAAGAAGGAAGCAGTAATGTAAAAGTAGAGTGCCATCCTGATGAAATCTTATTTAGCTTTATCAGCTGCTCAACTGTCTATCATTTAGCTTTAGTTTGCTAAGTTGAAACTCAGGTTTACCACTTGCTGAGCTGAAACATTAGTGATAAACTCAGGTTTCAGCCATATATATGTTAGCCAGTCTGTTTGCTTTCTAAAGCAAAGATTGGTGAAAACAACAAATAAGCAAGGAGGTGCATGGTACCATAAAATACATAAATCAGGTTTACATGGAATGCAACCCAAGTCAATAAAATGGAATGTAATGAAGTGAACTCAAAATATACAAAAACCAGGTTTACATGGAATGCAACTAGGTTGGTTGTAGCATTCAGATTTCCGAATTCACATGAACATTCACTCTTGATACAAAATAATTCTATCAATTTCTAAACAAAAATACACCCAATGATCTACATATTTTCAAAACATGAAATGTCCAGTGGGTAATTGGAATCATCTCCAATTTCCAAAACTAGCTTATATCTTCAAAAGCATTTCGAACATCTGATAACACGCTCATGTAGACAAAAGTGGCTAAAATCCATTCATCAGTTTGTTCAAAATATTCCTATGCCTTTCCGATAGGCATCCAAAGAAGCTTCTTACTTTCTCGGTGTTTTGACAAAGGAACACGTAATAATCATCAATCAGGTCTGTCTCAACTCCAATATTAACAAGTTCATCATAAATCTCTTTCTCTGAATATACCCGTGGCCTAGATTTTTCAAGAATAGTATTACCTTCTCTTAGTGCATCAGCAACATTGTGAAGTGCACCCTTCAAACTTTCAAATTCTTCATCACATGTGACTTTTCTTTTCTTACATTGTTTGCTGTTGTACCTTGAGATTGTTTGTTGTTATATGCCTTTGATCGTTGTGCATCCAACTCCTTACTTGAATTATTGAAGGTCTCTAGACTGATCTCATTTTGAGATAGCATGTTGTCAATCTCAATGATACTTTCAAACTGCACTCCATTTGGTTCATTCATCCAACGCATGCGTTTCTCTTTCGCTGTTTCTTTTCCTTGTCCCGTTGCTCTATCTTTAATGGTTGATAACTTTAGTCTTCCACCTTATAGCTTCAGGTTTTTCCTAAGAACATGAAAAGAAAAATGAAAAACAAGCATCATTTCAGTGATAAAATAAATAAAATCAATAAAGACAGTAAAACAGTCTAGCTAACATATACCTGTAGAAGTTGTTCCCAAACTTCAGGTTCAGCACACCAAGTTTTTGTGAATGGGTTCCAAGAAAAACCACTTAATTTTCCATTTCTAAAGAAATCATAGGACTCTTTGAAGTGTTCCTTGAGTGTCTTCAGTCGATTCTTCAAATGACTTTTAGTAAATTCTATTCCAAGTTTCTCTTTCAACTCATTGATAATATTATTGTATGCAGTTTGTGTAAAAGTTCCATCCATGCGAAATCCTTTATAATGCTGATCCAAAAGGGCCTGAATGAAGACTTCATCCATTGCTAGAGTCCATTTCATGTTTTCCTTCATGATGCTTGGATCTTTCTTCATGCTTTTCCAATTACACAAACTATATTTGTAGAAGAACACATAACAAGAATAGAATTTACATCAAAATAAAAGTTTTATATTAATTCTATTATGAATACATGGTTTTATAGATCCAAAAATATACAGAATCGTATTAGACAAAAGAAGATTCAAGTGAAAACTTGTATTTATAAACTCACACTACTAATATAAGAGTACAAGTTAACAAAATAAGGATCACATTACAACTTAAACAAAAGAAATCAGCATCAAGTCAAGTTGTCAAAGTGTATAATCATTCCACATTTGCATTGCTATTTCATTCCTTAAACTCTCTTCTTGAGCATGATCTTTTTCAGCACTTATATCTCCACTTTCCTCCTCCGATGGAGATTGACTTGCCAGTTCTTCATCCACTTCATTAATGTACTCCAAGTCAGGGTCAAACTCCATGAGAAAATTATGTAATATACAACAAGCAAGCACAATTTGTGATTGTATTTCAACACTATAAGTTGGTTGAGTATCTCCAATGATTGGAAACCGTTTTTTCAAGACACCAAATAAATGTCGCAAATTGAATAGTTCTCGAAAGTTTTGCGGTTGTTGACTTGAGTATTCCTTCAAGTGATACCTTACATTTCTATAAGGTGTAAGAAGTCCCCTTCTCAACATGAATCCAACATCAACAAGATAATATTTACCTATACAAATATCAAATAGTTACTACTTAATTAAATGCACTAAGAATAATTAACTAAGTATTACCATTAGGAATGATTAATTTATCTTCTCTAGTGAGCGCATTTTTTATGATCCTTGAATCTAATGCAGTTCCCTCCCAACCAGGTAGAACATATGTGAATCTGATATTCAAAGAACATGCATGCAGCAAGCACATTTTGTGTTGGATGCTCTTTTCTACCACGATATTTTGCCGCATCAATATTAGGCACCTTAACCCGCACATGGGTTCCATCAATTGCACCCACACAATCCTGACAGTTATACACTATGTTCAAATATAATTTCTATATGAATTTACAATTTTTAATATAAGTTGTTGAAAAGTTTATATCACCTTAAAATATGGATAAAATCTTGCACTATTAAGTATTTCTGGAGGAACTTGTTCTCCCGTAGGCTGCTGAAGAAATTGATCCTCCAATGCTATAACTGCTCGTAAAACTCTATGAAAATGACGACTAACAGTTTCTCCAGAACGCCGATAAGAGTATGACATTGTGATATTTTTTGAGGGAATTGTTAATATATGGAGAAATTTAACAACTTGCTCTTGCACCGTGGCTCTTTGAGTAGGTTGTAGACCACCATGTGTTTGCAATAAGTCACATAAGCGCCTAAAAGTTTCTGGCCCCATATGGATAACCTTACTCAAATATCCATTTGTACTAAGTTGCATCAATAATTCCTCTCGTACTAAATGACATTGTGCAGATCAATATCCAATGGGTCGATCCATATAATTTGCATGACTTAGTTTTCAAGCAATTATCATGTTTATTACATGACAAACAATTTCAGTAGCAACCAATTGTCGCTTCCTTTGTTGAATGTCATATTCTCCATCGACTTCATTTTGTTCCTTATCCATCTAAAAATGTTTGTATTAGAACACTAAATTTACGAATGAATAGATAATTAAAAAACATATTTTATTTATTTACAAAGGTTATGGAGTCATTATCAAATACAATGTTAAATTCTAAATATCAATATAAAAAGAAGTATTTTTCTAATAGTAATGTTTTTAAACTGTTGACATAATTTACAGTAAATAATAAAAATAATGCAACATCCTAATAAATAAAGAAGTTTTTAAATGAAGATACTGAGATATAAATATCATTTTGTCTACTCAAATTTTATTGAAAAATTCTTCATGCTTTAAATTAAGTTGATCAAGCATTTGATTTTTCATGTCTTCATTTTGGTCTCAGCCAGGGACACCTCTATGAATATAAATAGAACTGCTATAGCCTAGGAGATTTATTGATATCAACTAACGTAACCAAATATGATTTATTCTATTGTCATATGACCACCATCTTGTTAGACCTCATTTTGTTTTTGACGATCAGCCACCATTCAAAATAATACTTCTAGTATCATCATATTGTTAATCATTTCAAAGAAAGATGCATTATTATAATAAAAAGAGACTAACATATTGTTTATGAACTCTAGATGGATCATTTTACAATTTGAATCTTACATAGGCAAATAAACAAACAGATTGTATGCATTCAAATTTCATATCCATTTATCACCACTAAAGCTGTCATGTACCATAACCATGCAAGATATAATCACAAATCAATAATATAAAATCAAGAGTTCATTGACAAGAATTTTATGACAGGAAATGAACAAAAAATTTAGAATATAAACAATAAGAATCTACACAAAAAAATACTTTTTTCACAATGCTCTAGAGAAGACTGAGCAAAGAAAGAAAGAGAGATTGAGTTAAAGAAATACCTTTTGTTTGGTGAATTATGGGTGAAGAACGGAAGAAAGCCAAGTTT